GCCACGGCTGCGGCCAGGTGCCAAAATTGGACGGGGCAACACTTGAATTGCCGCTAAAGACGCGCATAATTTATGCCTTAGGCAAAATAAACTAAACCAAAAGGTGTACAAGGTGGGGGTATGGGGGGTAGAGGCTGCTGGCATCCTGCCTAGCGCACGTGTCGGTCTTTATGATTTCTGGTTTAGTTCCTCCGACTTACAGCGGCATGCATACTTGATGATGCCTTGTCCGTTTTGCATTTGGAGTTGGCAAATTTAATCAAGCGCTGCTGCCTGGAGGTGCAAATGAAATTGGAACAGAGAAAAACTAGAAAAAGACAAGAAAAAAGTTGCAAGCATTGCAGCCAGGGAGTCGTTTTGAGCAGCGCAACTGATTAGGAACCACGAAGAGCTACAGCAAAGAAAATGCAGTAGAGGTAGCACCTCAAATTTGAATTTGCCGCGTGCGCATGTGTGCTGCCAGACAGTTGAAAGCCCAAAGAAATGCAGCGCTCCACACACATATGATGTGTGCATGATATATGTACTACATAACGGTTTTACAGTTTTCGGAGTGGTGGAGAGAGAGAAACACACACGATAAGCGTTTAGATGGATGGATTTTTCATTATCTAATTTTTTAGTTAAGTTATCTTGAACCTACCCCACAGCTCCATAACCTAGTGACAGCTTGAGAAATCAAACACTGAAATCTCGAACCATGTACCCCCACATGAAATTCTCCGAATTGATAGCGATTGAAGGGGACATTTTTTTGGTGGGCTTGTTTTGAACGCTTTCCAAGCGAATATAAGCGAATATTGAGTCATTAAATAAAATAGGTCAGTTTTTGCATCGAGTCATCTAGCTCAAATATATGATGATTAATTATACATTTTGAGTGAATTTCTTACAATTTCGGTATGGGATTAACGCGAAGTTCAACTGAGTACCTTGGCTAAGAGCAGCACAGCGATGGAGGCTATTATGGTGTACGCGCTGCTACTGAAGGTGCCTGCGGGTCCATAGTAATTGCAGTTGTCAGTATAGCAGACGCCGCAGTGGGAGTTCCAGGTTGCCCTGGCTACCGGATCGGTCAGGGTACGGGCACAGATGCGGATATCCGGATGGACGCAGCCAAGAAACTGGCTCGTGACAGTGTTGTTGGGTCCAATGGATGCCGTGGGCGGGATTTGAGGGCCTGTGTAGTAGGTGAGATTGGTACACATGAAGCTCTGGCTGCCAGCCACTTCGGGCACATCGTTGTGGTACGTCGACAGCCAGAGGCTGCTCGCATTGGCCGTGGCATTGGTGCAGGTCTGGATCGTGGGTTTCCTACAGGAGGTGGCATCAATGCAGCTGTAGCACGTTAGCGAGCTGGCTAACGGTTAAATTGTTAGCGTTATTCACTGGTTCATACTGAGTCAATCAATCTACCCACCGAATTTCACTCCAATAAAGGCCACAAGCACAACAGCAAAAACGAATTTCTTCAACATATTTGGTGAGAGTTCTTCTTTTCGCGGCTGTTTAAGGTTTACTGATTCGTTTTCACTTAATGCAGGTGACTAATATGGTGGTCATTAACAGCTTTTATAGCGACAATAAAGATTAGTTGGCTTATCTAAGGGCTACGACACATACATGGGGTGCTAAGAGGTAAAAGGAGCGTGTTCGAGATAAAACGACCAAAAGCTCCTTTTATCGCACAAAACTATTACACAAAATAAACCAAGAATATCTATCGATAGTGCCGAAAACTGTTTGGAATCATGAAGCAATTTTATAAGGAGAGCCCGTCGGCAAAATGAGGGAAACTAACCATGCTGTCAATAAGTTCGATTGAAGGGACTCTGCGCTGCAAGTGTGACTGAAACAACAATGGAGTGTGGTGATTAACTCTTTGAATGCAAAATTTGTTTTATAATTTAATTTTTAATAATTTTCTACATGAGTTCCGCGTCGACAAGCTGAACTATGAGGGAAATGACCCGAGGAACGCTGCCGACGACGGGCCATCCTTATATAGTTGCTTCATGGTTTGGTATATTACGGCATGTTCCAGAAGACGATACTTATCGCTTTCACTGGCGCCGACAGCTTTCTTGCAATTTCATAAACTTTTTATCGGCTGAAAAATCAAGTACGTTTTGCGTCGCAGTTCCCGGCAAATTTATATATTATATATGTAAAGAAAGCAATTTGTTTGTGAGATATTAGCCTATGCATACATGCGCAGCACCTCTTTTTGTTTAAACAACAAGCAAACAAAGAATTTCGCCATCTACAGGCGACGTGGGCGCTGTCTTTGTGCAAAGTTTCGCATGACAAAGTTGAATGCACTCGCATTTTGATGGCGGCCGCTTTACAGTTAACTGCAACTCATCGTGTTTGCTAATAATTTGGTTATTCTTTGCAGATCGTCCAATAAAAACTAAGAATGTTCGTTGTACGTCGTAGCGTTTCCCGCCTGTACCCCGCCGGACTCCAGTGAGTACTTTTTAATTGTTGCTCAGCTGCTAATTACCTGCTAGCTGACATACCAACGTTAATATAACTGTTCTGGGTGGATAATTCTCTTGCCCAACCAATTGTTATGTATGCTCCGAGTGGCAGTTTTTCGACAATATGCGATAAGATAAACAATTTCGATTTCGTTTGGCTTTTCGTTTGACCCGCAACCAGCGGCCGGCTTTGTGTGTGTGTGTGTGTCTGTCTGTGTGTGTGTGCGCTGACTTCATTTGTTACGTAACAATTGAAAGAACTAATTCGACATTTGATTATCTTGCAGGGTGGCCAAGATGAGCAGCCAGCTGGGTGATCTCGGCAGCGGTGCCGGCAAGGGCGGTGGCGGCGGTGGCTCCATCCGCGAGGCTGGCGGCGCTTTTGGCAAACTGGAGGCCGCCCGCGAGGAGGAGTACTTCTACAAGAAGGTAAGTAGAACGCGAAACACATGCAAATTCTTATCAGTTTTATTTAGTAGCCCCAGACACTAACGAAAATCCCAATCAGTAGCACGGTCCGCCGTTGAGCAGCTCTTGAACTCCGCATTTCTGTATGCGAAAATTGATCTCCTTGAAGTTGAGTCCGGCCCCAAAGGCTTTCTGCAAGCGATTCGATAGGGCCCACAGCTCCTCTTTGCCCTCGTGGTTGCGCACGATCTTCAGGCCGCTCGTGAATTGGAGTCGCTCCTCATCCTCGATGAGCATGACCAGATTCTGATGCGTGTAGGCTGTTTGGGTGTTCCAGGCCAAAATGCTGGCTGGCTTGACCAGGCCACAGAGCAGCATTCCCGTCTCGCTCATGGCAGAAGCCACACACTGACTGCCCCGCTTGCCCAGCACCACAAACTGATCCAGGGCGGCGCTGACGTCGTTCAGCTTCCAGTTGCTGCCATTGTTGACCACGTCCAGGGGTATGGCCATCTGCCAGTCGCTGGACAGCGAGTGGAAGTACAGCATTCGCTTCACGCCCAAGGCATGGGGCGTCAGAGCGGTCGACACAGTGCCATCCCACAGCTGGAAGCTCTCCCCCGCGATGGTAAAGGTGCCGAAATCGGGATGCGGATAGGTGTACTTGTTCTCGATGCGCCACGACTGCTGGGCGGCCACATCGTACACCACAATGCCGTCCCCGATGGAGTCCGCCATGTACACGAATCCCACATCGCAATTGTGCGAGTCCAGCTCAATGGTGGGCGCAACAAAGCGACTGACTCCCTCCTTGTAGAGGCGCTTGGGCATGCGGTACTGATGCACCACTTGGCCACTCTCCAGATCAATGGCGTAGAGCTGTGGGGCACACAGCTGAACAAAGTCAATCTCGCCACTGTCCAGGATCCACAGCCGACCGCAGTCGTCAATCTGAGTCCTGTAAACGGAGGTTAGACCGTTACAGTCGGCGCCGTGCGTCTTGTGCCACTCGTAGCTGGGATAGGGGTGCAGCAGCGTGCCATTCGGCTTCATCTCGTTGGTCACATAGGCCAGGGAGTAGGGCACGCCCTTGGCAAACCGCGGGATGGTCACAAATATCGAGGGCGTTGGATCGCCATCTGCACGAAAGGGACACAATCAGAGCGGCCTTTGGGGCTTAAGTTCGAGTCTTTAAGTCTTACGCTTATAGTACACATCCACATCGATGGGTATTACATTGGCGGGATCGTAGAGACCTTCGCGCAGCACTCGCTCCCGCTCCTGCTGTGAGGGAAAGGCCAGCTCCAGGTTGTATGCCTGAAACACGCTGTCCAAGCCCTGGCTCTGCGCATGCTGTGCGGCTGCAGCCAGCAGGAACCAGAAGGAGAAGCAAACGCCCAAAGTAATCAATTGCTGCACCATGCTGTAATCCTTTCACTTTCGTTAGATCTGGTCTGTTGTGATGTGGTGTGGTGTGGTGTGCTCCAGTTAAACTCCAAACAGAGACTGCGCATGCGCCGCCACCGACGGGCGCTTGTCTTTCTAATCCGTATCCATCTGGCAGCAGCGGCAGGCAGGCCAGTTGGGTCACCTTTTGCAACTGGTTTAATTGCACACAAACATTGTGCATTGAAATTCTCGTTGACTTGACTGTCGCTTGTTGTTGGCCAATTGAGAAAACGAGTTCCTAGTGCTGGCTAATTATGCACACCACCCCTTTTTGGCTGCGTCCGACGTCGGTTCATTGGACCATTAAGTGTTATCAATTGCCCGATTTACAATTAAATGCGATTTACAATCCAGTTTCGGTTTTTGTCAGCAGACAGCGTCTACCCTTTTCCAATCTTGTGGCAACTACGCCGCTGCCCAAACCACAGTGGGCCTTGCATAATCATCTAGCGATAACCACGAACCTGAACTTTGCGACAATTGTTGTGCCGCAACTGATTCGTAATTGAGTGTGGAGTGCCTGCGTGTAGCACACCATATATTAAACGAAATTGTGTGGATTGAGATTGAGATTAAGTTTAGGGTTTGCGGCCTCGAATTAGCTTACAAAATTCAACGGACTAAAGCCCGGAAAGCGTTCTTCTGCCTTACCACCCAGTGTCAAGTGTTTCCAGATGCTTTTCTTTCTTCTTAACTTATTGTGCAGTAAAGCTTAAATTAAATACTAAATATAGTGGCGTTTATTAGCCAAAAGGATTTGCCGCTCATGGCTTAAACACCAGCCTGTTGGTGAGCTCATCATCGTTGGCAAAGAACACTCCGCCCTGCACATCGTCCAGTCTGCGTCGCAAAATGCGGAAGTTCACTTCGTTGGCGTTGATAGTGCCCGCGGATATTTTCTGCAACAACAAGTTAATCAATCCTCAAGATTCACAACCAAGACTTAGCCCAGCCTCACCTGGAAACGATTGGAGAGCAGCCAGAGCTCCTCGTAGCCCGCTGGATTGCGCACCACCTTCATGCCGCTGACAAACTGCAGTTCCTCGGCCTTCGCTGGCAGTGCGCCAAAGTTCCTTGAGGCGTACGGCGTGTTGACATTCCACACAAACAGCTTGATGGGATTGAGGGTGACGCAGTAGAGATTGCTCATGCTGTCCATGGCCGAGGCGGCGCACTCGCTCTTGCGCCTGCCCAGCAGCTTGAACTGATCGGCCATGGCCTCCACGCCGTTCGCCCAGTTCTCCCTGCGGTTGAGCACACTCAGGGGCACGGCGTACTCCCCCACGCTGGCCAGCGGATGGAAGAACAGATTGCGCTTGTCGTTGTTCACCGAAAACAGACCGTCCATCAGGTCGAAGCTCTCGCCGGCGATCGTGTGGTGGCCGTAGTCCGGATCGGGGTACATGAAGCGGTTCTCTGCGCGCCACGAGGCATTCGCCTGCTGGTCGTACACGACCAACCCATGGTAGTTGACGTCTGCAATGTAGATCATGGTGCGGCTGCAGGTGCCGCGTGGCGGCGGATCCTGCACCAGCACGCTCGGCGTGATGAAGAGCGATGCCCGTGGAGTGTACGTGTCGTTGGGGAAACGGTAGCGATGCAGCAGACGATCGGTGTTCAGGTCAAACTGCAGCAGTTGCGGTGGGCACAGCTGCTCGCTGCCAATCAAGCCCGAGTCGATCACCCACAGCTGATTGCATTCAGTGACCTGAGGGAGAGAGAGAGACAATCCATGTAGAGGGGAGGAAGGAATTTGCATTAACTACTTACAGCCACGCGAAAGGCGGAGGTAATCAGGTCACAGTTCTCGCCATGGCCATTGTGCCAGGAGTAGCTGGGATATGGCTGCAGCAGTGGGCCATTGCGTCCCATCTGCTCCGAGACGGTGGCCAGTGTGTAGGGAATACCGGTGACGAATCTCGGAATCGTTGTAAACACCCGCACCATGCCATTGGCCAAATGTTGTGCCTGCACATCGATGGGCGTGCCGTTCTCCGGCACCAGATTGCCCGCAGTCTGCGCGTTCTGCCGATCCTGGGCAGTGGGGAAGCCGTACTCCAGCTGCTGCCATTGCACAAGCGACTCCACGGTGCGCACTGGACTCGGTGGCCGTGGTGGCCGTCCACTGGGCTGCTGGCTGTTGTAGGCCGCATGGGCCAAGGTCAGCGACAGGGCGATCAGCAAGAGCCGGAGGTGTTCCATTCTGTTGCTCGTCTATGGGCTAAATGCTGTGGTCCGTCCACTGGTGCGCCTCTTATCAACTTTGGCTTGACTTTGAATATTTTTGGAGCTGTCTGATAAGTGAACGCTGTTGGGAGAGCTTTGTCTACTGGCTGTTGACTCTCAATTAGTGTTGTTTGAGTTCCACAGAAAACGGAATTTTATTGTGTTTAATATTTGGCCAGATGCGGCCTGAAATGCGCAATAATATTATACACTGACCCCAATCTTTGTCGAACACTTTCTTTGCCAACTTTTCACTCGTCGCGTCACACTGCTGCCAGTTGCCTGTCGTGCGGCCAACTATAAACTAAAAACTGGCTTCGAAGATGAGCACGCGCAGAACAGACTCCAGCAAACACACACCCATAGCTGATGTGTCTCTGATTCAGGTTCTTAAACCCTGGCAGATGGTTTATCCCAAGCTTACGCACTTTGCTTCGATCTCTTCTCTCTCTCTCTCTCTCTCTCTCTCTCTCTCTTGTTTGTGTTTCTCTCCCTTCAGTGATTTGCATTTGACGAATGTGCTAAAAATTTGTTCTACCAAATATTTGCTCGTGACATTGACAAAGCGGCGGAACTGTAAACTCTGTAGTCAAAGTCAAAGCCTCTTATATTGTGACGGTACGGGAATGTTGGCTAATTATGATGACAGGCGGCGGCAGCTTTGTCAATAATTGATGAGCGGCGCTGTAGGGGGCGGAGCGGCGTTCTTTGCCGTAACCCGCAATTAGCTTTTTACGACTTGCCGTGCCAATACGATATATTTTAATCATTTGTTATTAACATTTCTGTTTGTTTTGCATTGCAGCAAAAGGGACAGCTGGAGAAACTGAAGAACGATCAGATCCACCAGGCCGAGTTCCATCATCAGCAGATCAAGGAGCACGAGGAGGCCATCCAGCGTCACAAGAACTTCCTCGAGAACCTGCACAAGTGAGCGGTGGCACCGGCGAAAGCTCTCTCACATCACACACAGACCAGTGATAGTTCGAGACATTTACTTAAATGCATTTCACTCAATTGTACTTGTCCTCCCTCCTAGCCGATCAGTGTGCAGTTTATACACTCACAAATTGTTCAATGTTACTGAAAATCTACATGAATAAAACACAGATATTTTAAAGGCTTTAATTGGAACATCAATCTTAACTCCAGTGGGATGCCCACCCGCGGCTACAGAATAGTCAATTTGGAAGCCTGCGCCTCGTGCCGCAACTGGTTCTAGTGCTAATACTACGCCACCCTCATCAGAATGGGCATCTCTGTATTCTAATTGAGTTTGTAAACCACCTAAAATCATATTTTAATCAGTTCCTGCAAGCTCTGAGCGGCGGCAGAGTGTTTAAGGCTACAAATTCCCCAAAACACAATGGCTGGCTTATCAAAAAGGCGAGTCATTCATTAATTAGCAAACTGGCTCTGCTTTCATTCATTAGTTGAAAGCGTAAACATTCCTCTATAAACATTTAGCAGTCTATTAGTTTCAAACAGCTTCAGCCAGACTGAAACGCAGAATGGTGCGTATAGGAAAGGAGTGGTTGGTGAACATCAACGAGTTTAGTTTGGATTTGTTTCTTTTTCTTTAGTTTATTTGCATATAATATTTAAATTTGAATTAAACGTGGCCGGGATGACGACAGCGTGAACCTCTGCAAATTTTACATTGAATTCTACATCCAATTTCCAGATGCGCCTTAGGACTTCACTAGTTGTTACACATAAACATGTCATATCATGCGTAATGTGAATATTAAAAGCAAGAAAATAGTCTTCTCTCACACAGGCAATGGATTCATCAATAGTATAAAATTATAAGTTAACTTCTGAGAGTTCTAGCTAGTTAGTAATAATATAAAGAATATCAAAGTCGGGGAATATGAGTTTTATCGGTATATTTCTTGGCACTGAGAAAGTATATTTCGGTATATTGTTAAGAGGCTGACGGTATTTTGTATCGATAATTCTTCTGCAGACACGTATTTATTTATGTTAGATGTTTTTTAAAATAAAAATTCAATTGTGATTAAACCAGGTAGCGCAGGCCGTCAACAAGTAGTGCTGCAAGTGGGTCATCATGTTTGCCAATCTGAAGAATAAGCTGATCGAAGAGGTGAAAGCGTCACCGTCCAAATTCCAACAATTCGCGACTGCTGCACAGGTACCGTACGTTCAGGTGTTTGCCAAGGGGTGTGGAAGTGGGGGAAAAGAAAAATGCAAATTGACGAAAACATACGCACACCAAAGCAAACGTAGTGTGTGTGTGTGTGTGAGATAGGGCTGGTGGAGCTGCATTTTGACCCATTTCCACGATCATAATAGACATTATGGCCAGCTGCATCTGCTGGCCTAGCCACCCAGGAAAACCTTGCACCAACACATACACTCACCACTTACCACTCACAAGTCTAATGACACTTGCAGGCGGCCGTGAGCTCATCGACGCCAAGCAGCTCGGACACCAACACCAGCAGCGGCAGTGGCAGCGGAACCAATGAGAACTTTTTCAGCATCACGGAGGAGGGTGAGCTTTCTTTTCGTTCTGCCAGCCATGTTTTAGATTCTTATCAGCCGATTTTCCATTCCCCCCCATACACACAGACACGCCTCAGAACTCGCCGTACCGCATTCAGAAGCTGCCGACGACTAGCGCTTCCTCGCTGAGGGGACGCTCCTCCACACAATCCTTGAATGGACTGGGCGGCGGAGCAGTACCAAGGAGCCGCAAGCTGTCCAACTCATCCATGGCCAGCGATGTGTCCTTCCGCCTGCCCTCCTACGATGCTCCAGCCGTAAATATCAATGGAACAAAAGCAAGACTATGATTTTAAACGGATTACTTTAGGTCTATCACTTACAATCGGATCTGGACGAGACGAGCAGCGAGTTTGACGACTCTGCGTCGACGGCACGCCTCGATGTGATCACCAAGGACCAGCTGTACGATGCGTACAAGAAGTCCCTTGATCGTTACCACAAGTATCGCTGTCGGTACACGGATCTGGCCAAGAAGTACAAGGAACTGGAACGTGACAGCACTAAGGCAAGGGTATCTATCTATCGGAAATCTTATCTTTGCTTATCACCGATAAGCGCTTTACTTATGCTGACGATAAAATGTTCCCCGTTTGCAGTCGGTGCTGGTGGAGACACAGGACAAGGCGCTGCGTAGGATCAGTGAACTGCGCGAGCAATGCACACTGGAACAGCAGGCAAAGGCGCATTTGGAGGAGGCACTGCGGGTCGAAATGGATGACATGAGCTGCAAGATGCAGGCCTATCAGACCAAGCTCAAGTTGCTCGGCGAGAATCCGGAGAACATTTCGGCTGCCCTAGAGCGGGTCAGTCAGGGACTGGACAGCGACAAGCTGATCGATCTGGAGGAATCAACTGGAGGCAGGTCCCCGCCCCCCGCCAATGGGGACTTGACCCATTTGCAAGAGCGGCTCGAGGAGCGGCAAGCGCAGTTTGAGGAGATGACGGGGAAATACGAAGCTCTGCGGAAACAGGAGGAGGAGAACGTCTTGCTCTTGGCACAGACCAAGCAAGCCATTCACACGGAGCTGGAGCACAAGGACAACGAGGTGCGGCAACTGCAGGAGAAGCTCAAGCAATACGAATCGCAGCGCGAGTCTCAGAGCAGCGACGTCAAAGACCAGCTGAAGAAGCTGCTGGAGGCAAAACAGGAAGCCGATGCAAAACTCATTGCCACAGAGCATATTTTGTCCTCTCTCAGAGGCGAACATGCTGCCAAGGAGCAACAGGTGGTGGCTCTCGAGAAACAGCTGGCGGCGCTCAAAGCGGAAAGCGAAACAAAACTGAACGAATTGCGGCAGCAGAGCGAACAGCTTGGATCTGATCAGCTTAAGAATTTGCAGATGGCCAAGGAAGCTGCGGAAACCAAACTCTTGTCCACAGAGGAGCTCCTGAATGCCATGAAAGTGCAGCACTCCGCAAAGGAGGAACAGGTAGTCGCACTGGAGAAGCAACTGGAAACATTCAAAGCACAAAGCGAATCCAAATTGAATGCATTGCGTCAGCAGAGCGAGGAGCGTGGCTCTGAGGCACTCAAGCAGCTACAGGTGGCCAAGGAAAAGGCAGAAGCTCTGCTTTTGTCCCAGGAGGAGCTATTGAACTCCTTGAGAATGCAACACACGGCAAAGGAGGAAAAAGTGGAGACACTCGAACAGCAGCTGGCAGCTCTCAAAGCGGAAAGCGAAACCAAATTGAAGCAATTGCGGCAGCACAGTGAGGAGCGTGGCTCTGAGCAACTGCAGAAGCTACAGGTGGCCAAAGAGGAGGCAGAAGCTAAACTATTATCCACAGAGGAGCTGCTGAAAACTGTAAACTTGCAACAGAAGGCGAAGGAGGAACAGTTAGTGACACTCGAAAAGCAATTGGAAACTCTCAAAGCAGAAACCGATCAGAATCTGCAGAAGCTTAACGCCGATCGTGAATCTGAGAGCAATGCTGCTAAGGCACAACTACAGGAACTACAAATAGCCAGAGATGAGGCAGAAGCGAAGCTCCTGAGCACCGAACAGCTTTTGATCTCCCTGAGGGGTGAACTGGCAGCCAAAAACGAGCAGGCGGCGGCACTGGAGGAGGAAGTGAATGCGCTCAAAACAGACAGTGAGCTGAGCTTGCAGGATCTGCGCCAGCACAACGATCAGTTGTTAGAGATTGTTCAGCGCTCGCAGCAGAATGACTTTGAGGGTCAACTGCAGCAGGCGAAGGACAATATGGCTGCGCTTGAGGGGAAGCTGATGGAGCGCGAGCGGCAAACCTTGGAGCTCGAAAAGAGCTTGGAGATCGAGCGGGAGTCTGTGGCCGCGCTGGGCAGCGAAAAAACCTCCCTCGAAGAGCAGCACAAGCTGCGATTGGAGCAACTGCAGCGCGAAATCCAAATGCTGCAGGATCAGCAGGCCAGCACAGAGAGTGAAACGATTGCCGCACTGAAGGCGCAGCTTGAAACGCTCAACCAGGAGCTGGCCAGCAGTCGGGCCAGTCTCCTGGCCAAGGAGAAGGAACTGAAAGCCTCCGGCAATAAGTTGAACAAGCTGAAGAAGCAGCACGAACAACAACAGGCCAAGACAAGCGAACACACAGCCCGTATGGAGCAGCTTCAAAAAGAGATGGCGGAGAACCAGAGTGTCGCCAGGCACGTGGAGAGCGAGAAGGAGGAGCTGCAGGCACGCGTTAGCTCCATCCTGGAGGAAATCACCAGCATGCAGACGCACTTACAGCAAGTGCAAGACTCTCATGGCCAACTGGAGAGCGAGAACCGCGAGCTGGAGTCTCGCATCGAGGCGATGCAGCGGGAGCAGCAGGGGACCAATGCGCACGACGAGCGCACCACTGCCAAGATGGAGGAAATTCAGAGTGAAAACACCAAGCTAGCTGAGCGCAACTGTCTGCTGGAGGAGCAGACGAATCACCTCGAAAAGCAGCTGAAGTTGGAGCAGGAAGAGCTGACCAAGGTGCAGGCGAAGATGCAGCAGGTGCTGGACGAACACTCCAAGCTGCAGAATGCCCAAGAGCTAATGGATCACGATCATCGCACGCTGCAGGACAAGTGCGATGTCTACGAAAAGGAGACGCTGCTGAACAAGGATGCCCTGCTGTGCCTGCAGTCGGCCAGCGAGGAGCTTCAGCAGGCCAAGGCCAATCTGGAGCGAGAGCTGGCGGAGCAGCAGTCGCAGCTGTTGGAGCTGCGAGAGCGCCAACGCGAGCAAGAGCAGCAGGTGAAGGACCAGGCCGAACGCTGCACTGAAATTGAGGCAAGGCATCTGGAGAGCGACTCCCAGGCGCAGGCGACCATCCAGAATCTGCGCCATCAGATCGATGCCTTCAGGGAGGCAGAGCAGGGTGTCCAGGAGAGGCTGCAGGCGGCCAGTGTGTCCCACGCCAGCCAGGTGGCCATTCTCGAGGCACGCTGGAGTGCAGCCAATGCGGATGTTGAGCGGCTGCACGAGGCGAATGACGCCCTCCAGCTGGCCATGGATCAACAGAGTCAGCGAATGGAGGAGTTGCAGGAGATGCTCGCCCAGAGGGAGCGTCAGCTGGAGCGCACGGCAGACTCCACCAAAAAGCTGGCCAAATATGACGAGATTCAAGTCGAAAACGAGTATCTGCACACGCATACGAAGCAGCTAGAGCAGGAGCTGGCCGACAATGGGGAGCTCAAGGAGAGACTAAAGTCCATGCAGTGCGAGCTGTATGTGCTCCAGGAGCAGGTCGAGCACCACGCCACGCAAGTCACCGAAAAGGAAGCACAAAGTGCGACGGCCAAAGCGGAGGCGGAACAGCTGAGAACGGCGCTGGATGAACAGACACTCGAACTTACACGCCAGCGGGAACACGCCAGTTTCGTGACGGAACAGAGTGATGCTGTCCAGACAGAGCTGCTGCAGGCGCAACAGCAACTGCAGGAGCGGCAAAGCGAGTTGGCCAAGGCCCAGGAGGAACACATCAGTCTGCAGGCGGCCATTGCGCAACTCAACAAAGAGGTGGCAAGCCTCAAGGAGCAGCCTGCGGTTTCCGTTGCCACAGATGCCGACAGTTTGCGCAGCCTCAACGAGCAGCTGCAGCGCGAGCTGGAGGGTCTGAAGCACAAGAGCAACGGTGCCGAGTCGAATATGCAGCAGGAAATCGAGGAGTTGCAGGCGAACAACCAACAGATGGCCGAGCGCATCAACGAGCTGGAGGCACTGAGGGCGGGCATTCAGGCTCAGCAACTGCTGAACAGCATGGCTCCCAAGCACGTTCAGGAAGCGGCAGCCATTAGCGAAAAGGCCGTGCTGGAGTCCAAATTGAAGGAGATCATGAACGAGGTCCAGGATGTGACGAATCGAAACCTGTTCCTCGAGCAAAAGTGTGAAAACTTCCTAATACTCGAACAGTCGAACGAGCGGCTGAAGCTGCAGAACGCGAAACTCTCGCGCCAACTGGATGAAACACTGGTAATCATGGAGGAAGAGTCTTTGCTTGGAACACTTAATAACAGATTTAATAATACTCTCTTGCAGGTATCCATGCAGCACAGCGACACTGTGCCGGTCAACACAGAGTTTGAGTATCTGCGAAACATTATGTTCCAGGTGAGTGTCCACAGACTTGTCGCTTGATTAATTCACATGCTAAAATCTTGTCTTCCCCTGTTTGGCAGTACTTAACCGGCACCACAAACAACGAGACTTTGGTGAAGGTGATATCGGCAGTGCTGAAATTCTCGCCACAGCAGTCACAGGTGGCCCTGGAGAAGGAGCATCAGCGTCGATCGTTGGTATGACCCATTCCAGGCTGACCCATTCGCAAATCACTCAAGAATCTTTGGTTGGCTTCTTTGCAGCTAAATAAACTGATCTAGCATGAACTAATGGCTCTCCACGACGGCGGCTGGTGGGAGCCATGCCCAGCCACGCTTCTAGACTACAAATTGAATCGGAATCAGAATGGGTAGCCCAAGATCACAATAAGTACCTTATACCTAAGCGGAAAACTGGGCATAGCAATGGATTCAAGACTCCAATCATTTCCGCATTACGCATTATCCCCGTACCCCACTTATATATTATATACAGATATGCTATTATCAATGTTATTATTGTACAGTCTCCTCTGTTGATCTTGTCACTCGCATGCTATGGCCACCCATTGTACATTTATATTTGGGTTGACATTACCCACTCGTCTCTCTGTCTGTTCTTTCTCGCTACACATCCCATCCCGCCAAAGTGCAATCGTATTTTGTGTATTTTAGTTTAAGTTGAAAATTGTAAGGCGACGAAGGATTCATTGCAGTTGCAGTTGCAGTTACAGCATTTAGTTTAATCCAAGATCTATACATAATAATATACACTATAATAATGATACAAATAAATAGTTGCAATTCATATAAAAGAATCAATCTCGTTTACCCGCTCCCTGTTGCGCTGGCTGCGTGTGTGCATTCTTCATCTGGAAATGGAAGACTCTCCGGCGCTGCACAAAGCTGCGCAGCATGGCCCGCGTCAGTGGCGCCAGTTGGTAGCTAGGTTTGTAGCTCTGCAGTGCATCGAGTGCGTGCTTGAAGCCGAAGCGCTGCAGCCTCAAGATGGCCTGAACGGCTGCCTCCTGCACAGCGGGCCGTGGCACTGCCACGAGCAGGCGCTTGAACAGACCCATAAAGCCGGAGATGTCGGTCTCCATTGGCAGCGGTTTCACAACCACCGATATGCACTGCAGTATGCCCGCGAGTCGGACATCGTACGCATCGGAGTGTGCACTTAGATCACAGTAGCTAGAGGCGAGCGGCACCAGGTGCTGGCCGAGCACATTGTTCAGCACATCCACTCTCGTGCTGCGACGGCAGAACAGGGCAAAGGCATAGCTCAGCTGCTCCAGGTGGCCTACCTTCAGCTTGTTCACCAGATTCTCCAGCACCTGTTCGCTGGTGGGCTCGAAGGGCTGGAAGTGATACTCGAAGCGCAGCTTGGAGAGCAGCAAACGTCCGTATCCATTGGGCTCAGTCACGTCGTACTGCCGACTCATCAGCAGGTGCTTGATCACAGTGATCAGGGGATCGGAGTTGTTGTACTCCCGCTCCTCGCGGTGCGGCAACACCGTGGGATGACAGCACAGCACCTCGTACGCCAGCTGAGGCACATCCGGGTTGTAGTGATACAATATTTTGGCTAGCAGCAGACGTGACGGGTTCTCGTAGGTTTCCGGATTCGAATGGCTCAGCTGCAGTCGCACCACCTGCAGGTAGAGCTTCACACACGTTAGGGCCCAGTCCAACTGGACTCGCTCCTTGGTCAGCCTGAAGAGGCGCTTCTCCAGAGCACACAGCAAGCTCTGGATATACGAGGGTTGGCCCTGAGCTCTGAACAATTCAAAGTATCTCAGGGCACTTAGCAATCGATCCAGCGGGTCGTTTGGCTGGGACTCCTTCCAATCGTAGCTTAACTGGCAGAAGGCTCGAGTCATCATTGTGACAATCACAGCCACATCCCGCGTTACCTTAAATACTTCCTTGGAGAAGTCGCTGCATGTGGAGTCCAGTTGCATGGTGTCCATGAGATGTCTTTCTATTGTGGAGCAAAGCCTATCAAGCTGCGGCTGGTTGAGATGCGGTGAACACTTGATTTTAGCCTTGGGCGCCTCCACCACATGAATAAGGATAGCCTTGGGTTCCACGTCGCCACTTGGGCATCCTGATAGCTCCAATGGTATCTCAATGGGTGGACTGTCGCTCTCGTTTGACTCCTGGGAAGTGGGTGAGGCTGGGGACTCCAAGAAATGGTCAATTTTCTTCGTCTCTTTTCTCTCTGCTCTCCTTTCATCATACTGTGTCGGCGTCGGCTCTACTTTTGTATCAATATCCTTAGACAGTTGCTCCTTTAGGCTATTCTGTTCAATTTGCAACTGTTTGGCTCTTAAACGTGTTAAACGAACTGCTGTTTGCGGCAACTCGAATGCTCTTTCCTCCCTTTTGAGCGGACTAAAGGCCGATCGTGGTGGGGATTGCGCGATCGGCGAGGAGTTTTCTTCCTCTATAACTAGATGCGGTTCATCTTCCGACTCCTCATTGCTGCTACATCCGAAATTCAGCGAATCCCAAGGCCGCTGCTCCTCGCTCGTATCAGCCTCAGGATCAGATTCGCTGCCAAACAGCTCCAAATTGAAATTCGTGTGCACTGGAGTTGGTGGTTCTGCCTCTTCGTCATCTGTGAAAGATGGCATATTCTTGCCACAGTTCCCTGTGAAGAATTGTGGACTACATTCCGCTGGCAACGAATCTGTGTCGCTGGTAGCAACCTCCTCTTTTTCATGGAGTTCGGTTTGCTGTTTCAGAAACGTATCTTCATCGCTGCAGACTTGATTTTTTGGCAACGAATCTGTGTCGCTCGTGGCAGCCTCATCTTTGTCATGGAGTTCGGTTTGCTGTTTCAGAAACGTATCTTCATCTCTGTAGACATGAGGACTTGGCAACGATTCCGTGTCGCTCGAGACAACTTCCTCATTGAGTTTAGGTGGCCGCGGCTTCGGTTTCAGAAAGGTTTCCTTATCAGAATTATCCTCAGAGAGTTGCACATTCTGCTCTGTTTCGCAGCCTCTTTGTTCTGCCTCTCGCATGCCAGAACCATTGGTAGTCAGGTGAAGCAAATAGCGCTCCTCCGAGTCCAATTCAAAGTCTAGATTATCACAGTAAGACATGTTGAAGGTGTTTAGATTGCTTATGAATTGAATTGCCGTCTCTGATGCTGGGCACTCCACTTCCTGGCGCACTTCCATTGCTTCCATGGGCACTTGGGCTGGTGCTTCGATCGAGGGTAGTTCCACAAGTTTACGCTTGGGCATTGGCTTCAGAATGGAGGCTGCTTTGCGTTTTCTTGACTTTCGCTTTCGTTCTTTCGGTGGCCGCGGTTGCTTTGGTGGCAGATGGATCGGCGTGAGCTCTCCTTCGATGCTAATGTTGGGCGACTCTGTAATGATGTCAATGGGATCGGTGCCCACCTCTGTGCCCGACTCGTAGTTATCTGTAAAGAGAGCGCGTTGAGTTAAATCACATAATCGAAGAAGGAATATAGCTTGGAGACCTTTTTTGCTGGAGGCGTGCTCGGGCTGCAGCTGCTTCTCAACCACCGGATGGGTCAGTGTGCCCTCATAAAGGGCGTAGAGCCAGCTGGTAAAGTCCATTTGATTGATGCTGGGCGGCGGTGACTGTGTGGGGTTCGATCGCCTGTGCAGCAGACAGAGAACCATTTGGCCAATAACTTGCCACAGCTCGTCGAAGGCCTGGGGCGGCAGGTTGGCGAGGCAGCTTTGGTTTTGAGGTAGAAAGTTGAGAATCTCCCTGGCAAACTCCTTGTTGTTGCCAGCCGGCACGCTGCCGCTGCCCGCCAGGCCCTCATCCTTCACACTCTCGAGCATGGTGCGCGAGGGGGGCCGAGATGTAGAGACCTTCAGCTGGGACGGCATCTCCGGCATGAAGTCGATCTCTCGGTGCACATTGCACAGCATGGTGCAGGTGCCGACGTCCATGGTGGATGTCTTGGGTAAGATTTCTTCCTCCACCATAAGCAGAGGTTCCATTATGGGGCTGAGGGGCTTGACGACATCGTGGCTATGCCAGGATAACATCTCATCGAGGATTTGTCGCACATTCGGCGGTGGTTTTGGCTCTGGAAAGCAAGTGCCTACATCGCGGTACTTGATGAAGGAGGCCGTGGTGGTGCTTCTTGTGGTTGTGGTATTCTTATGCTGCGTTCCCTGGTTGCGAGTCGCCACCAGATTCATCACTTGCACCCCAATGCAGCTTGTACTGGTCGTGGCTGTCGTGGTCGAAGTCTGCGAGGCTTGCGTTTTTAACGCAGCTTGCGGCGCGGGCTTAGGTTCTGCCGTGGCATGCTGCGTTCCCTGGTTGCGCATCTCCACCCGATTCGTCACTTGCACCCCAATGCAGCTCGTAATGGTCGCTGGCTTGGTCGGAGTCTGCGTGGACTGCGTTTTACATGCTGTTTGGTTGCCTTTCCGCTTTGCTTTTGGGTTTGGGTTCGGATTCGGACTCTTTGGCTCTGGCACTGCAATCTTTTCCGACTTGCAGTACTCTCGGACTTTTCTCATTATATTCTGCTCACGTCGCGAGAGCCCGGCATCGTCGCCAACTCTGTGTGCGAGTTGCATGTACGCCTCGACCAGGTCTTTGGCATCCATAGGCAGGGCCCTGAGCTTCAGCTCCTCCTCCAGATTCTCACAGTTGGTGACTTGGGCATCCAGTTTTATTTCCAGCTCGCTAAAGCGGTCTCCCAGTTCTTGGCACTGCTTCTCCAGCTCAATCCTCTGCTGCTTCTCCTTCGTGTACATATCCGTCACCTCCTTGGCTGTCCGCTGCGTGTCGGTCAGTTGTTGATTGTGGCACTGAAGCTGCTTCAGCTTACGTATCAGCTCATCGTTGTCACAAATCCGCTCGGACAGACGGCGACGCCTGGACTGAGCGTTTGGTTGAGGTATCGACGAGTGCCGATACGGCGGCGCCAGGAAAACTCCTTCGTGAGCGCACGGACCCAGCAGTTGATCTATGTTGATCTCGGGGAATTGTAGGTTCTCTGTCATCATGGCCATGGCGCCTCCTCCTCCTCCCTCTTGCTTTGGTACTTCACGTGTTTACGTTGGGGCGCTTGATAAACGCTCAGTTTGAATGGAACTTTGCGGGAAACTGCATTTCTGATGACACAATGTAAGTCGTTTGGCTTGGGAACACTAGGGTTAACTTATTTAAAAACACAGATAAAATGAAAACTAAAAAATAAATCCGCGTTTTCTTTTGCAACCGGTCACCCAGTAGGGCTGGAAAATCGTCGATAGAACTATCGATCGTATGTTGCTTACTATCGACTGTTTTCTGCAGCCCTGGGACATACCGATGAGTGTCTGGTATTTTAATGTAATTTTAAATACCACATTTTACACAAATTTATGAACAATTTACAGATTACAGAAAATGTATCCGTTTTCAACTCATTTATTCGCCGATCAAGGTTAAAGCCAACAAAAACAGCTCCGAAATGTAGATGCATATATTAAAACTAAAGGCAGCATCGCTCTTGAGGGCCATTTAATGGTGTTCGGCAGCCTCCTTAGCCTGGGACTCGGCCCATGCCTTCTTGTTTCCGGGCGAGTTGGCTGTTGGAAGAAAAATCATTACAAAGTGCACTTGCTTGTGTAATTTTGGCAGGAGCGCCAGAAAAACTTACCCAATCGGCTGATCTTGTAGAAAACGGGCACGCAGGCAATAGCCGCGATAAAGTAGTAGCGCCAGATCCACTGATTCTTGATGTAGTGCTTGATGGGGAATTGGGCAATCTTTGCCGAGAAAGTGTACGGGTATCTCATGGGGCGACCCACGGGCTTTTCGGGAGCAGCTTTGTCGGCCATGGTAGTTGTTGATTTAGATACTGCAGTGGCGAGGAAATATATCAGATTTTGATTTATGCAAAAATTATGTAATTTTCCTACGAATGCCGAACGTACGTACCTCGATGAAAGACCACAATAAAATCGTCAGGTGCAACTCTGTAGTAAAGCTGCCAACTTTCGCCGCTATCGTGTGTAGGGACTATCGAAAATTTTCTGCTGTGTAAATAATATCTACTATAATGGCAGAATGAAACACAAATATACGGCTTGCTTAGTTCTTTTTTACTTTAGCTACTGCGTTTTGAAAATAGTTTTAATCCGGTGAGTTTGTAGTAAAATAAGGATATTCATTAGGGTTGCTAAACTATTTTCGATAACATCGATAGATCGCCGCTCGATCAGCTGATGGTTTTTGCCGTCGTGAGCAAACAAATTGAACAATTTAACAATTCGTAAGGTAAATGAAACCTGTAGCCTGTGAATAGCATATTAACAAGCCGGCTAAAGAGGAATACTATCATTTGCTAACCTCTTTGTGTGTCCTAATAGTGCCGCTACTAAGGGCCTCAAGCTGCTGGCTTTGCCACATCCTTTGCCATTTAAATTTCCATGTCTATCTCCTTGCAAGCTCTCACAATGATTAATACGAACGACCAGGTGTCACAGGTATCAGGCCTCACTCTTTTAAACCATCGTAGAGCACTTGTAGTCTTTGGTTTTGCATGCCTTATGATTTGATTTAGAATTGGATCCCCAGCCTGATAATTATCTCAACTAATTTCATACCCCACCCTTCCACAGACTGAGAGTCAGACGTCCAAGGCCAAGCCAAAGAAACTGAGGCAGCGCAATAGACCCCGAAACAAACGAAATCGCGTGGAAGACAGCACAACCACTACTACAGAATCCTCGACTACCACCGAGAGCACAATGCCAGGGGAAAACAGCCAGCAGGACGCTGCAACGCGTGAGCAGGTCATGGCAGAGCGCGAGGCCAAGAAGCAAGCCAAGCAGGCCAAGAAACAAAAGTCTGCGCCGCCAGCTACAAAAATCATCACCGAAGTGGAGCAGACGACCATAACCACAAAGCTGACGACCACGACAACAACCACTGCCAGGGACAAGCCGGAGCCGCCAGCAGCAACTGCAGCGCCAGCTGCTCCCATTGCCGCAGTCACTTGCACTGCGGCGGTAGTAACGGAAACTGGTGACAAGACCCGCGACCAGATCAAGGCTGAGCGAGAGGCCAAAAAGGCGGCGAAGCTGGCTGCCAAAGTAGCCAAATCCAGTGGGGCGAAGGTCGAAGCCCCCGTGCAGCAGTTGGCCGACTTAAAGGTGACAGAGAAGACTCCAGCGCCAAGCGTAGCTCCAGCCCCTGCAGCGGATGAGGACAAGGTAAGCAACCTGTCAAACGTTCAACTTGAAAGCCTCTAATCCTCTGCCATTTACAGAAGAAACCAGCTCTGAGCAAAGCCGAGCGTCGGGCCATACAGGAGGCTCAGCGGGCAGCCAAGGCGCAAGGCCAAGGACAAGTGAAGAAAGCGCAGCCAGCGGCCAAGGCTCCTGTAAAGTCTACGGCCACGCACACGGCACCCAAGGAACTGAAACGGGAAAGCGTCTCGCCTGTCAAGAAAACGACGACAGCTTCACCCAGCAAAAACTCTTCAGGCAGCGCCAAGTCAGAGTGCAAAGTAAAGCTCTTCAATCACTTGGTGTCTGCCGAAAAGGGCGCCAGCCTGTTTATCAACGATCCGCTGGTGCATCCCAGCATGGCGCGTCTGGGCGTGCAGTATGCTCAGCGCACGGTGGTCGGCTCCAATGCGCGCTGCATTGCCTTTCTGCATGCGCTGCGGCAGGTGGTGCAGGACTTTGAGACGCCTGCCAAGAAGGAGTTTGGTCGCAGCTTGGATGCTGCGGTGCAGCACCACGTGGATCATCTGCACAAGTGTCGCCCGCTGGCCGTCTCCGTGTCGAATGCCTACAAACAGTTTAGGAATCAGGTCACGCAACTGCCGGCAGATGTGCCAGAGGCGGAGGTAACTCAGGGATCACTGCTCACTGTTTTAGGGATGTGGATTTAAATTCTTTTTTACAGCTGAAGGAAATACTCGTGCACTTCATCGACACCTACATAGAGAACCAGATTGGCAAGGCGGCCCAGGCCATAAGCAGCTCGCTGCAGGAGAAGATCACTGACGGCGATGTGCTGCTCACCTTTGGCTGCTCCTCGCTGATACAGTTCATCTGCGAGGAGGCCAAGCGGCGACAGGTGGCCTTCCGTGTCATTGTCGTCGATTCGCGTCCCACGTGCGAGGGCCAGGAGATGCTTCGTCGCCTGCACGCACACGGCATACCCTGCACCTATGTGCTGATCAATGCCGTGGGTTATGTGATGGCCGAGGCGACCAAGGTGCTGCTGGGTGCCCATGCCCTGCTTGCCAACGGCTATGTGATGGCGCGCACAGGCACTGCACAGGTGGCCCTGGTGGCCAATACCCACAACGTTCCCGTTCTGGTCTGCTGCGAGACGCACAAGTTCAGCGAACGATTCCAGACGGACGCCATCGTCTACAACGAGCTGAGCGATCCCAACGAGCTGGTGCGCGACGACAAGTGCTGCCTCAAGAACTGGGCATCCAAGGCACACCTCACGCCCCTCAACCTGAACTACGACATAACGCCACCCGAGCTGGTCAGCGCCGTTGTCACCGAGGTGGCCATCCTGCCCTGCACCAGTGTTCCCGTCATTCTGCGCATCAAGCCAGACATTGGCTACTAATCCTCGCTCAGACTATAGCCTGCTGCCCGCTGATGTTGAATAAATATTTAAATTTTTTTATTATTACACTTTGATCAAATTGATAAACACAATTTTGAATAGTATTTTTAATGTTTTTGCTTTGCCCAGAGGGGAGAGAGGCTTGCTGGGGCTGTATGTGGATTGTGGCTGAAGGAATAGCTAAAATCGAGTCAGTTTTCAGGCTTCTCTGCTAGATGGAATCGAATGTTAAAGGTTTTTGTCGCACAGCGGCCCCTCTCTCTCTGCTGATAAATATTATATTTATAGACACTTAGTTAATAGTTTTGTGTGTGTGTGTGTGTGTGTGTGCCAATCTACATCAGTTTAACAACAAAATATACAGATTTTTGTGCCCGACTTATCGTATTTAGATAGATCCACTCTCATATATGCCCTGGAAGCCAATCAATCTTTTGCGATCTAGTGTTTAGTTTTTCTTTTGAACTTGAAGGAGCTTCTAAGCAGCTACCACTACAAATGCAACAATAAATATAATCTTTAATTAATAGATTTGATGCTGTTTTCATCCCTTTAACACTGTAGTACAACTATGGTTTAGGCTATAAGCATATGCTGTGCAGTCACTTATGGGCTTTGCTTTTGCATTTGCCGGAAACAGCCGCGGCACACGGGCACCGGCTTGCCGCTGTCATGGCCTGGCAGCGACACATTCTTGTCAATGCATCGCTCGCAGAAGATGTCGCCGCAGCGCCAGCAATGTGTCTGTCGAGGAGTTTCGAGTTAGGCTTAAGCTTTGTCAAACTTTGTTGTGTCTCACCTTTTTGCTAAACTGATCGAAGGGCGTGGAGCATGAGCAGGCGGTCACATTGCGCATGGGCTTCCAATCAATTGCCACCGATTCGATCTCGTCAGGCAGGGTTTGCGGGCTGCTTGACTGCTCTGCGTTTAGCGAGAGATTGGCAAAGGACATATTGTTGGCCTTCAGCGGGTGGTCGTCGTCTGCTGCCGACAGTTCGCTCAACTTCTTGTCGTAGTTGTATCTGAAAAGGAAGGGGAGTCGGTGATTAGAGGGAGGATTAAGCAACGCTGCTGCCTTTGGCTTTTACTTGTTGTCATTGATCTCGTTGGGTGTAGAAGCCACCTCCTTGGCGACCTTGGTGGTGTTGGTGCTGGTGGCATCCTGCAGCTTCTTGGCCGACTTGGAGATGTAACTCTTGAAGCTCGCTATGCGCTTGCTCAGATGCTGCACGTGATCCTCCAGCGAGTTGGTGTGCTCCTTGCTATCAAGCAGCAGATCGCCCAGCGGTTCCCTCGGATGGATGCCGCTCTCAAAGCGGCAGTACATTCCGCGCCAGAATCTGCGAAGGAAAGAGACGATGAGCTAAGACACAGATGCTGGACGCAGACTCCTCCTCACTTGATGCACTGCGGCGCCAGGTTGGCCTTGATCGCCTCATCCACATTGGGCTTGTACAGCGGATTGATGTACTCGTTCAGGTGGTTGGCCATGAAGCCCCACAGCGAGAAGGTGCGCTCGGCCAGCTTCAGGTCCAGTCGATCCTTCTCGCAGTTGCCCACAAAGGTGCCGAACTGGCAGGAGTGCACATGGTCGTGCAGGATGAGCAGAAAGCGCTCGTTGAACTCGAAGGCCTCGCTGCGCTGCGACATCAGCTGCCAGGTGCAGTCCAGGAACTGCGTGAAGATGGGCGACACCTCCTTTGCGTCCGTCTGAATGTGGCCACAGCGCTCGCTGAACTTGTGCCCGAAGGCCAGCCAATCCTTCTCGATGAGCGCCTGGAAGCCCTTGATTGTGCGATAGTAGGGATTCAGCATCAGCTGCGCCAGCGAGCACACCTGAGCGGTGCGATCCCAGCCATCGGAGCAGTGTACAACCACAGAGACGCCCTTGTCCACGGCATTTGCAATGAAGCTGAGGAGGAGAGGAGAAGTCTCTTGAGTTTATTTGTTTAGGCATTCTATTGGCATGTTTACCCACCTCGACGTGTCCAATATGGAGCGAATGTGCTTCAGCCAGCCAGACGATTCGAGGGCATTCAGGAACGCGCTCATGGTGGGTGACTTCTGTTCGCATGCCTCCAGCACCTTTTGCAGGCTGGCCCGCTGTACGTGTATGTTCTCAATGCCCAAGAAATGGAACTTGATGTTCTCATAGAACGCCTCGTTCTCGTATCCCTTGCCAGCGGCACGGTTTGCCATCGCATTGATCTGCAAACATTCAAAGGGAATTTATTTACATCTCTAGGGGAATGTCGCAAGCTACTCACACGCGGTCGCGTATCCACCACATACATGTAGTCTGTGTTTGTGTTTGTCTTGCGTATGGCCTCCAGCATTTGCTCATCCTCCAGGCAGCGAGCACTGAAGCCAGACAGCGGCTGGCTGCAACGGCAAATGGATGCCTACCAGAGGAACGATTATTTATAGCTAAATGTTTGCATTTGAAGCTGAGTCCCACCTTGTTGTTGTGCAGATAGGTGAGTGCTGGCAGGCGACCCTTGGAGCGGAAGCGCGAGCTGCTGATCAGCATCAGCGTGGTGGCCTCCTTGGGCACATAGATCTGACGCGGATAGGTGTCGCAGAGTTCGTACTTCTCGTTCATCGAGCACAGGGTCCAGTTGTCGTTGGGCACCAGCAGATGCTTAAACTCGGCCTCCAGCTTGAAGAAGTCCCAGCCAGCGCTCTTGGGGTAGTCATCCTTGGCCGGCTGATAGTTGAAGCAATACAATTTGTTGATGGAAACTGTCGAAGGAGCAAAAGGAACCTCAGTTCATGGTTTGCATGTCTTAAACTCAATGCTCACCTGGCTGAAAGAGCTTCAGCAGTGATGTGTAAACGTCGTGGCATTCGGAATCCTTGGGAATCACGAATGTGACCGACAGGAATGTCTTGCAGCGTATGAGTAGCGGCGATCCGGTTGTGCTCAGCGGCAGCTTCTCAATGCTGGCCACATGCATGTGCAGAATCTGCAAGTAACCAGAAATTTAATTTGTGCCATTTCGACCATGAAAGCGGGCCAGGGCTGCGATTATGCAAAGCGCGAGGAGAGCGAAAAAACTGAAGAAATTGCCACTCCATCGACCCAGCCAGTGAGCCAACAGGCCAAGTACGTGCCGGGCCTTTCCTTCCCCACTCAGTGGCAGTAAAAACTGTAATCCCGTGTAGCCTGTGGCGGGTTCTGCCTCTGCTGTCCAGAGTATTATGAGCGAAAAGTGTTTTGGAAAGACACTGAAAATCGATATTCACTCCGACAGTTGCCACTCGAAGACCCTTTAGCATTTTAATTAATTATCTTCGCACTTGGCCAACAAGTGAGCATAGTTCTGCCCTTGGGGGCACTTGTCGCACGTGTGGAGAGCATAATTAATGCAATTTTGCAGGCAGGTAATTAAAATGCGATGCATGCGTGCGCTTTTGCTGAAATATTACGTATACGCGCCAGAGCTTCTGGGCAGCCGCAATGCAATTTAAAGTTTACATCAACAGCCGTCCTAATTGGTAGAACCAGGCAGAATTTAGTGGCAATTAAGTGTTAGGATGCATATATCAAGGAGTGTGGTATTTAGGGCAAATCAACTTTAGGGATAAGCCAATTTAATTTATTTAATTTCGGTTTCTGCTCTTCCCCTTTTGGGTGCCTCTTCTGTTTGAATTTTCTATGAAATGTTTCCTCTTTGAGGCTGGGAACAATGCAAAAAAAGCGCTAAGCAGGAATAGCTTGACCAAGTTGTTTGTGCAACCCCCCACCCTGTGCTGCCACCCCTTCGAGTCGCCTGCCTGTACGCCCCGCTGTGGTGGCTTATGCCTGATGAGAATCTACTGCTGTGCAGCGCAATTAATGTACATAAATAGTAGAGCAATGCTGGCCGGATTCAATTTGTGCGTTTGCATTGGGGCGGGCGTGTACGTGACGGCAACGTGCCTAATGCCAAGTTCTTACAAGGCGCACAGATTGCAAATTTAAGCGGCAACTTTGAGCGCAAATAGAGGGAAGCCTTGAGGCAACTTCTTAGCAGAAACTTTTTCTGCACTCAAGCCTGAGCCGAGTGGCGGAAGCGGCGGACAACCAGGCGCATCCACGACTGTCAGGCATCACTCATCATGGAGCGAGGTCAAGCCCAGGCCCCAGCCACAGCTGGGAAGCACACATTTGAGCACGTTTCCCCGTGCACGAAACAACTTGGAAGGTGACTCAGTAGGGCACTAAATTGTTTGTGGCTCAGTCCACGGTGTTTGCAATTCGAAAAGTTACCACACAAAAACAAAAACAAGTTGCCCCAAGGCGGGAGGGGCATATAATAATTGATGATGTCATATTTTGGTGGCTACTTACCCAGGTCTCCTTGTTGCTTTCGGGCTCCACGAATATCAAATGGGTTGCCGTCAGATAGAGGGTTCCAACTGTGGGATTTTTGGTATTGTAGCGATCTATCATCCGCACACTTTCCACCTGCAAAGAAAGGGAAACAAAGTGCAAAAAATAAGTGAAATGTTATACGCAGGCATGGCATGCACTTTGTACATTTCCCCAAAAATCTTCATTTCAATTGCAGCTGCTGTGCTGACGTCAGTGAGCCACCCACATAGCCGTACAATCCACTCCACAACTTGCAGCTCCCCCACAGCTCCAGCCACAGCAAAACGGGAGCAAGTTCAAAGGCGCGCGATAAAGGGATTCTTTTATTTTACTTTCTATGAAAATTCCCTTGCAGGCTTACTCCTTTGTCAGGCATATAATCTGCGAGCGGGAATAGGAGCCTTAAAATATACTACACGAAGGAATGCCATTCATCCATTAAACAAAACCGCTGGGCAGGCAGCCCATCCATCCATCCCATTAATGCATTTGATGGCCCACAGCCACAGCCTCAGCCTCTGCCTCACACTCTCTGCCTCACACGTCTCTTTGTGGCAGCTCTTATTGCCCCAGGGCCCCAGCTGCCGGGCTCGCTCATCAAGCGACTAATTTCCTTTCATGTCATTTGGGCTCAGTTCTGTTCGAGGCGGGGCCATTGTTGGGATAGATAAGGTTAGTTAATTGTCAGTGGGATGGTTGGTGGGTTCATTACACCAGCAGGATTCGATTTAACATGCAAATTGAACCATGAACCTACATCATTGCGTGTGGACTTGGGGGCTTTAAGGATTTAAGGACCCATCAGCATCCTCTGCAATGTTTTATTTGATTTGCCGCAGCTGGCAAATTGAAAGCGGAATGGCAAACAGACGATGGCAGTTGTCAGGAGACATGGAAAGGAAACCTTTTCAGTTGCAGTTTGCGGCAAGGGATGGGATATGATGGACGAGTGCAGAAGCCATTCCATCTGTGACCACAAGGGGACGCCCACACCCACTTAATTGCCCGCACAGCCAGCGGTTCCTATAGGAGGAGGATGAAACAATTTGTAAGTCTTTGTGGGGGAAATGGCTACGCAAATGGCGCCGGAATGCACCCGGAATGTGGCAATGGAGTGACCCAAATAGGGAAACGAACCCTGGACACAGGCCAGCTCGTTGGGAATTTGCATAGTTTCCGGACAAGCGCCGGCGGCAATGCTTTAAAAAGAAAACGAAGTTTGATTTTCCCTCACGATTTGGAGTGCCCGATGGACGGAGAGGATGTTACCTTCTTGAGCACACAGTTGCCGTTGTAGAAGACGGGCGCCTCGTTAAACTCCTCCTCGATCCAGGAGACTACTTTGTCGGAGACGAACGGTGGCACCGGCACGCCCCATAGCCTCTTGTTGCCATCGGGCGGCTCCTCCGTCTCCGGCGATATGTTGTCGAAGCTCAGCCGCAGGGCCGAGGTGGGAGATAGTTGGCGTTCGATTTCGTTGAATTTATTCATGAATCTGGTAAAGTCCATTTCACTGGTCTAGTCTTCTTTTCGCCGTCTCTGCCAACTTTGTAGTTGTTGTTTTTGTTGTTCTTGTTGCACAATGGGTTTATTGATTTTGAATTAAAAGGGAGAGAGAGAATGGGCACTGGCTCCTTGGCTTATAAATCAAATCACGTGAGTGCTGGGGTGGTACGGGACGGGCTGGGATACTTTCACTTTTCGCTTTAACGGCACACAAAGTACGCATGTATATCGATGTATATACATATATATTGGACACTTTGTTTTTCCCACTTTGGGTCTCTATGTGTGGGTGTGTGTTGTCTGTTGGCGCCGCAGTAGAATAAGCTCCCGACACGAGTGCTGGGAGTCAACTCGGCTGCCAGTGTGCCTGGCGCGCGCCTAAATGCACGCTATGCTGGGTGTTGGGGAAATTTTGTGGCCAGCGGGAAATTTTCTCAGCCAATGGGAAGAAAGCAGGCAGCTGTCGCTCAAAGAGCAAATACTTACAAATACCCTGTAAGAAGTGAGTATTTAAGGTTTTGCTAGGCTTTGGTTCAATTTGTGAGCTGAGATGTGTCCCATGCAAGGGTAGGGATATTTTCTGCTCCCATAGAAAGAGAGCAACTATCGTTAACAGCAAATACCCTTTCCTGTGGCTTTGATGAAGAGAAACGTAATGAAGGACATTTGAGAGTGGCTTGAACTTGTGGGTTAGGGCAGCTAAAATTATGTTTGGGTGAAGGCTACATAGTAACCTCGTCAAATCAGCGCCTGACTGTGAGTGGGTGTTGGTGTCGATGAATTCACATTCCACTGCTGTGCGTCTATATATTAATAGATGTGATTTGTGTGTCCTGCGGCAAGCTGAGATTTCTACTTATTGACAGGCAGCCTGCCCCTGTTGGTGCGCCGGGCCTTCCTCTGCCGCCCGCCCAGGTTGACCATCGATTTTGAATAGCCCAGCAGAAGGTGGAGCAAACAAAGGCTCTGCAGCATGACTCACAACTCTTACACAGGATTTAGATTAGCCAATGCCACTGGCCTCTCACAGTGGTGACTGCTGTTCGGCAAATAGCACAGTTTGGACCTGATTAAGCCATAAACATACCTTTGCCAGCTTTATGTCGTCCATTGTTTACGTTTTGATGTTGTCCCTGTTGTGGATTCCGTGGTGTACCAGCTTCAAGGTCGCCTCACAGCCAATGAAGATTGCAGCACGTGACACGCACTGATAATACAATTTAAATACACTTTTTTCCTTGGTTTATCTGCATTTTTTTTAATAAATATATTAGCATTAGGGATGTGGAGTAAGTAATTACTATGTATCGATATATCGTGTTTGTTGATGGTATTTTTCACGGTCAGCGCCATCTGCTGGCAATAATGATATGATTTTGCGATGTTTTTTAATGCTTTCACTTGGTCCGGCAGCACTAGAAACATTTCACTGAATCGAAACTCAAATATTGTGCGCAAAAATGCATTTAATAAACTTTAAACACATACAAACAACAAAGTATGCGTTTGCTATCAAAAGTTGACTAACATTGCCGGTATTCGGTGATCCCGTTGACCAGTAAGTGCACTTTAGGCGTGGGGTTAGAGTGTTAAATGCGGAGTGTTCGTCGTCGTTCATTTACGCAGTCCTACGTATTTGGTCCAGACACCTTTGTGGTCGAAGTAGGGCTTGTTCCGGGAGCAAATGATTGCCTCCCTGAAGACGTCGGCATAGTCCGACGGCATGGCACTGTGCTTGTACAGATTAAACAGGAATTCATAGACCTAAAACGCAAAAGAAGAGCAATTAAGAGGCGAATGAGTCGAGGTTGTCCTTGGTGTCACCTTTGCCTCGTGATCCTTCCAGAAGATGTGATCGCACAGATACTGCAGGCTCTCGGGGAAGAGAGTGAGTCGCAGCTTATCGTCCGTGGCCACCACATCGACACTGCCCAGCAGCACGGCACAGCCGGAGAGCACATCGACGGCCAGCACGAAAATGTCCAGCAGATAGAGCGCCCTGGTGGCCTTCTCCTTGTTGGAGGCCTCGGCCAGCAGCATCTGGATCTCCAGGAATATTTCCATGATCCAGTTGCAGGCATGCTCATCGCTCCCAAAGGCATACAGAGTGGCGGCCAAGTGGCGATAGAAGAAGGGCCGCTCCTCCGTCCGCTTCTCGTACGCATCGATGATAGGCGTCAGCCACTTGAGCGGGTTGGGCAGCTTGTCGTTGTACAGCACCAGATAGCAACGAATGATGGTGGCCTTTTTCAGCTTGCCCACGGGCGTCTCCCACCAGTTGGCGGGCGTCGTCAGCCCGTCAATGGCATTCGGATGCAGCACGGCCACCACTTCCGTGTAACGCTCGAACAGCCGCGAGTCCAGGTTCATCGAGTCCATGTAGCGCTCCACAATCAGCGTGAAAACATCCAGCACCTCGGGTATGTCACACTTGCCGGTGAATATGTACTTGACGCTGTCCAGGAACTTCTCAAAGAGGCAGCCTGCAAATGGGAGGAGGATAAAGCATGCCATAAAGAGCATCAGACTCACCCTCGGCAAAGTCGTTCAGCTGTGACTCCTTGAAGCAGTAGACAGCCACCTTCTCGGCAAAGTTCTTGATGATCTGCAGGCTCACGCTGCTGGCTATTTCCGGCAGCAGGGAGAACAGCAACAGCAGATCCTCCTCGAAGCAATTGGGCTCAAAGTCCACCAGGAAGTTCTCCAGCAAACGCTTGGCAGTGCCCGAGCTCGATGCCTGATTATTGGCTATCATGATGCAGTACTTTCGCGCATCGAAGGACAGGTGGAAGAAACTTGTCAGGCAGCTCCAGTCGAGCGGCGGTATGGGCTTGGGGAACTTCTTGGACAGCGCCCTGAGCGCGAAGGTCACTGCATAGGGCTCCGACACGTAGTCTCCGAAGCGGGCCTGGCTCACCATGTAGTTGGTGACGGCGCGGAGCGGACTGGTCGCAAACAGACCGACCAGCTTGCGTGGCTCTGGCTTGCCCTCGGGCAGGCGGTAGACTCCGCTCCGGAAGCCGTTTATTTCGTTTCCAATGTGATGGGCAATCAGATCTGCAGCCGCATCGCCGCATTCCGGGCGTATCTTCTGCAGCAACTGCACCCACACGTCGCCAGGCACGGTCTCCTCCTGCAGATCCACGACCTCTCGGCCGCCCACTGCGCCGCCGACAATCTCGAAACGAAACTGAGCTGGAATGTGCCGCAAGTTGAGCGTCGTGCCCGGCTCGTAGCTCTTTAGGGCTGCCAGGGCATTGCGAACTTGTGACGCATCTGTGCCCGGTCGACTAATGGCCTGCCACAGCTGCTCCAGGGCATCATCCGCCAGCTTCTCGTACTCCAGCGTGGGTGTCTGCAGCAGCGGCACCAGGCCAAAGAAATGGTACAGCGAACGGAGAGTCTGCGGACGTTGTTCGCCGCGGAACTTGCTGCCCAGCGCGTGCCACGTGGAGGCGATGTTCACAGTGTGGCTGTCGCACAGAGCATAGAGTGCATCCAAAGCCAAAGATGTGGCCAGATCCCCCGACTCATCGGTGCAGCTGTTCAGGGTGTTGCTGAGGTGTGGCAGCAGCTCCGAGCCATGCAGCGTTGGCCTGCAAAAAGTAAAGATTTAGGATTGAAAAAGGGCTACAAGCTGAGTGTTCGTTTGTGGCTGGTACTTTTCCTGGCAGATCTCCCGCATGGCATGGGTGCGGGCTACTTGCAGCTCCCAGCGCTTGTCCCCCACCGGCAGCGGCTGGGCGACTTGCTTCAGCAGAAAGGGATAGGTGCGCGTCTCCACGCGCCACAGACGCAGATACAGGTCCACGCAGAAGGTGCCATTCTCGCTGGACAAATTTCGAATGGTGTTCAGAATCATGGGCACATTGTCCTAGGCAAAAGAGGAGTTAGGAGTTAGTGACAGATTCGAGGAAAGATCCCTTGCGGCCTCACCTTGGACACGGCAAAGTGTGGCAAGCCGCGAAGCAGTTCCAGCTGCAGCTCTGGATTGTTTTCGTGCGCCAGCTTGAAGATGTAGGTCATGAGGAAGTCGTAGGCGATGCCCTCGTTCACCTTGATGGTCTGCAGGATCACCTCGTAGATCTTGAACCAGCAGTCAACGGGCGGCTGGCGGGAGAGGAAGAGTGCGCGCAGGAACAGATGCAGGCGCTGGCAGAAGGCCGTGTTGGCCTTCACATTCAAAGCATCAACGAAGGCAAACACATCCTGGTTCTCGGAGGCATCGAACGACTCCACCAGATTGGCCAGATCAAAGGCAATCGCAATGTCCGGATGGTAGTTGCGCATGTGGGCCGGCTGTAGCTGTCGGGTGGATATCCGCTCGCCCTCGTCCGCCTGCTGGAGGTCGACCACACGCTGCACTATCTGGTTGGCCAGGGCCAGCCCCTCGGCGGGTATGAATGCAGTCTGAGACATCCACTGAATGATGCCATCCAGACACATGTTCAGAATGTATTCATGGCCACAGCGCTCCTGCACGACCACGAACACAATGATGCGCAGCAGGTCGGCCAGGTAGAAGGGGGACAGGACGTGCAGCACCTCCGCCAGCAGCACCAGCAGCACGTGGTAGTGGTCCCGCGTCTGCTCCCGCGTCGCATGCAATGCCCGCAGCAGGCACAGCAGACTGGGTCGCGGATCGATGCCGTAGTTGGCCAGCTGCTTGATCAGGCAGGCCTGGTAGATGCACAGATCGATGGACTGCGCGTGATCCGACTGCTGCAGGAAGTAGTCGATGGCCTCGATCACCAGAATGCTGGTGGACAGGCAGGTGCTGGCATTGTTGAACTTGCTCCACGACAACAGCTCCTGCATCAGTGCTCGCGCCTCGGGCTGGCTCCTGCTCAGCCCAAGCAGGCACGTCCAGATCGGCTTGACATCGTGCAGCGTCTGCGGATTGCACAGAACATAGAGGAACACGGGACGCAGATACTCCACGCTGTGGCTGCGTATGCTGTGGATGGAGTTTACATAAATCAATGCTCGAATATTGGGTAATCTTTTGGG